AAAGGTTTTAACGTATTTTTTGTGAATGTTCATTGGAATATTTGTAAGTTAGACATTGAATAATATTTTTCACTGTAAATACTAAATCATGAAAAGTATATGCATTATCCCGAAATTCAACTAACGTAAGTATATAATCAAAGTTTTTTTTATCTAACTTGATTGTTGACTAAGTATAATACCGTACATTTTATTTAAAATGTTTCGAATATTGTTAATATAAACACATTTTGTAATAAGTTATCAAATAATGTTTAATCACTTTAATTGATTTTTTTTCCAATTGTTTGTTAGTTCATATTAAATATAGTATAAGTAATATGTGAAAAATGCTCTTCAAATACAAATATAACAAAATATGCTAAATAAATAATATTGCATTCAACTTCTAGTATTATGATTTATGATATGAAATAAATTTAAATACCACGTATATATGTTTTGAATAATTATTGAAAAACACTCAAACTCCTAATGCCCTAGATATAAATTAATTATTAATTGTAAAAAATTACGTTTAGATTTATTAGATCTAATATTGTCATATAATCCCCCGATTTAAACGAGCAAAAAAATAGGTACCTACTTCTGTCTTATAAAAAAGTAATAATACTTATTTATAATATTAATTAAGAAGTAATAATAGGTATTTATAATATTAATTAAAAAGTAATAATACTTATTTATAATATTAATAAAAATCATTGTTCATTGTATTATTGTAAAACTAATTTAAAAAACCATAGTAAAAATAACAGTTTTTAAAAAATGAAAATATTATGACAAACACCACTATACATCGATAATATTTGTGTATAATTATAAAGAGAATGCATTCTTTTCGACGAAAATAGTGGAGGGATATCATACCACCGTATACCTACCACCACTTTGACCACTGTTTCTACAATTATATAGATAAATCAATTATTTTTACCTTTTTGCAGCTAATATACACGTATCACCGCCATCAATCGTGTTGCGAGTTCGGAAAGGTCTTATGTGAACTATTTTGAATAAATTAGGTATATAACAAATGCTTAGCACGAAAACGAGTACTTAAATAAGGTAGTCTGAAACCTTTTGAGAACGCACCTCATCGATGAACTACGTGCCAGACGTTCTTATAGATATATAAAACAGTCTCTAGGTACTGTCTTATTGATATTTTACTATTGGGCAGCGATGGGATGATACAATTCGTGGACTAACTGTAGTACCTAATTAATTAACCGATTACTGTTTTTAGTATATACAAATTATAATAATGTACCTAATATTATAAATTATAACAATATAGATAATTCCGTGACTAACATTGCACGCCGCAAACAGACGACTGTCGTTCGCTGGTTTACAGGGCTGGAGCCTTTTTTATATGCTATAACTCGAAAGCTTTTAAGCGGACGTCGTGTGCGTTATTATCACGGTCGTATGTAAAATATTATAATTTAATACGAATTCACGGATCGTAGACCGATTATCATCACATATTCACATGTTTAAGTACACACACATGGGTGTGTACTAATAGATTTAATAATTATTATTATTTTACTTGTATAGGTAAACAAGTAGAAACAGTGTTAATAGTAGCGTTCATGCACATCAACGAATACCTACACGAAATTATACTGTGATACTGTGACATTGTATTATTATATAGTAGATATTATTAAACTTATAATATAGGTATTCTATGAGTTCAGTACATTGACCAAGACCATTAATAATATTCGTATGATATTATGTAATATGTATATGAATAAGTAATAATGAATCCTTAACAACCTATATCGTGTAGCTATATAATACCTATGTTATTTTGTATTACATACACGGCTACACTCGCAAGACATAAAGTTTTGTAGGTACTTGTGTCTGTCCACCGTACATGATAGTTTTGTAGCCTACATCACGCACCGCCGTCAGTCATTATAATAAAATAATATTATGTTAAGGCGTTTAAATTAATCGACTGCACCTAAATGTGTGGTGTTGTTATTTCGCAGTGGCGGTTTTGGGTGAGAGTCGAGTGATTCAAAATATTTGTTTACTTTATATTGGTACTATATTTTGAATTTTAATCGTTTACTATAATTTAAAATATGTAATATAATATAATATTAAGTATTACATGCATTATACACATCATACACAACAATTTGCAATAGGTCTTTAATTTGTTTTTACAGAACTTGCACGAAAAGTGAAAATGGAGCGCTTTGCTGTAACGTTAAAACTTTATAAAGCCGCATGGGAGTTCTCACGGGTGGGGGGTGCGATAGATCCCCCCAACGTTCTTTATTTTCTTACATATTACTATATTAGTAATACACATTTTGTCTACTTTTGATATGTGTTTGTGTTTTCAATATTGACTAGTTATTATTTTTATTTTTTTGTTGCTATTTTGCTTTATCGTGATTATTGTTTCCACCAGTCATAAACAATATTATAAATCACTGATAAGTATAACATATAACAGGAAATTCGTTTTTGTACTGTATTTTTGTAAACGATCACACAGTCAACTATACACATTCCCAGCTTCAAAATATCTACCAACTTTTCAAAATACGTTGCACCTATTGCCGGTATCTATATCAACTCCAGAAAGAATATTCTCATGTTTGAAAAGACTTAAACCTATCTAAGAAGCACGATGACTGAAGTAAATAGTAAATTATATTATTATAACCATACTTAATTATTTTTCTTATATTATAATTATATTTTCTAGGACCGTCTTAATAGACTAACTAACATTGTTGGCCATTCATAAAGAAGTGTCTATTCATACGGAAAAGTTCTTGACATTTTGGCTTAAAAATCAATATTTTAATTTGAATTTAACATATAATGAATTATTAAAATAAATAATTTAAACTGATTCATAACATTGTTTTATAATTTAAATAAAAAGTACAATAAAAATTACTTGAAATGATTATTTGATATATCAACTATCATTATTTTATAATATTCATTATTATAATATGGGAGTTGTGAGGCAAAACCCTTACGGCTTATTTAACTAAAATGGTATCTCTTAAGAATATTATTAACTGGCTATAATAGGTACTTTCATATACTCACTGCGATCGGTATGCGAGCCCAATTTTCAAATTATTTTTATTGTGTATAATATAATATTATGTTAGATAGATAAATAGGTTATAATGGGTTGTACCTAATAATTATGTGTATAATTGTGTACGGTATTCGTTCTCCGGACCTAATCTAACGTTTAAAATTCAAAATTAATAAATAATGGGTACCTATAGTCTATTCCACGAGGGAATAATCAGTCCGCCGACCGATTCTCGTCAGGGCTGCGCATCCCCCACAAACTTCCCTGTGTTAACGTGATCACGTGGTTCTCGACGACACACTAATCAAAACATTCGTGATTCGCGGAAAGTGATTATTCTCTCGTGGAATAGACTATATGTTACATTTTGGGAACCTAATATTGGTTACCATTATTTTAAATCTATTTTTATCCCCTGTTATCGGTTACTGATTACCGTGATGATTTGTCAGTTAAGTCGGGTTCACAACTGCCCGTGTCGTGTCGTGTGAAATATGAATTAAATTCGTTCTTCGGGGACGGACGTTCCGAATCAGGGCGTTACCAACTAGGCAATCATAAATTCTACCCTGGTACTATATGGTATGATTATCGAATTTTCACATAAATATTTAAAATATTTTCTAATCAAAATATGATAGATAACTACATTACCACAGCGTGAACATTATGACCAGCACGATCAATTGTTGAATATTCGCAGTATCGTGTTGGTCGACATGATCATATTTTTAGAGAATTTTTCGGAAAAAAGTATATTTTTATTTATATAATATATTATTATTAACTACTATAAAATATATTCATTCATAATATAGTCGCGTCGTACCCGAAATATAAAAAGAATAATTAATTATAAATGAAAAATATTAATTTGTTGTATTTATTTTTGATCATAAATCATTTAATAAACAAAAAAAAAAAATGATTATTTATTATAATAATAAGTTGTTGAGGCAACATGTTTTCTAAATAAAATGCTTTTAATTTAATTTTAATTTTGTTTTCCCAAGGGTTTAATGATTAACACCCACAGGCTGATTATCTACTTAATTGATATATTATTTTCAGAAAAATGTCCAACTGGTTTTGGATTGAAATTAAAATGTTTATCGTTTGACCTAAAGAGATAAATCAATTTGATAATAACAGTTATGTTGTTAACATATAAATTGAAGTTATAAAACTAAAAATTATTTAGTTATTATATATATTATGCTTTATAATTAATTTTGTAAACACAATAATTTATAGGCCTTTTTTTTTTCAAATTTGACTTTAAAAAAAAAACGTGGGCAAGTGGGTGTTGCTCTTCTGTACAGTAGGTTACAATTGGGTCACTGTAATGGTCGATTACTGGCATTAATTTGAGTTTAATGCTATAATATCATTGTATAAGAAAAACAATTCTGAGCGGAGACGGTTTGTCAGTCTGGATATTTTATATTATTAATATTCATTATAGCCTGTACGTTTAATTGATATTATAATATTACTATTTTTTATTTGTGTCTATACCTAGTGATAGAACAAAGCATTAGAAATTAAAATTTTATTTTTAGTAGTTTTTTGTAATTTGTTGGTGGTTTTAACGTGGCGTTAAATAACTATTAAGAAAATCAAATAACCTCTCTAAAGTACCATTTTGATCCAATTTGCTAAAATATAAGATACTAAATGTTAAAATTGAAGCACTCCTGGTAGAAATTTTGTATACAGGATAAAAAAAAAATAAACACCATTGTATTACCACTAGCTTCCTCGCTCCGCTCAGAATCTAAAATAATTATGATCATGATTATGATATAATTAATAAAGTATGATCTTGTTATTACATGCACATTGTTTAAGATTTGGAGCACCATCTGAGTTGTAAATTAAACATTTTCATGAGGCCATAGTGAAAATGATTGCTGAGGATTTGCAACCGTTGTCAATTGTGGAAAATTCGGGTTTCCAAAATATGATCAAGCTATTGGATTCAAGGTAACAGTTAAAAGTTGTATAAAACCAATAAAATCAATTTTCTTTTTTAAATAATTATTTTAATTATTAAAATAATATTATAATTAATACAATGTAATATTATTTTTCAAAAATCCCTAATTCAAAACTTAAAAATACTATAATAAAACATACTTACATTATATTAATAAATATTTAACTTAACTAATTTTTTTAGGTACCAAATACCAAGTAGGAGAGCACTTGGCAGAACCATTATTCCTCAAATATATTCAAATGTTAAAAATCAAGTTCAGACATTATTAAATGAAACCAATTATGTATCTATTACAACTGATGTCTGGACTTCGATGAATACTGATTCATTTTTAACTATGACTGCTCAATTTTTTCCAAAATACCAAACTCAGCTTAAAACCATTGTTTTAGGTACTAAAAAATTGGAAGCAAATCATACTGGTGCATATTTAGCTGAAATCATGACCAATGAATTAAGTATCTGGGATATCCACTCTAAAGTAATTGCGATAGTGACTGATGGTGGTTCTAATATTATGTCAGCAGTTAGAAACTTGGGCATTCAGCATGTTCCATGCACAGCTCACAAACTGAATTTAGTTGTTCAACAGCCTCTGTATCTAACAGATGACAATGAAGCAGGAGACTATCAAAACGATGCTACTAAAATGAAAAACATTTTTAAAAATAGTCGGAGTATTGTTGCGTTTTTTTAAACGGAGTGAGGTTGGTAACAGGTTATTAATAGAAAAACAAAAACAACACGGTCATGGACAAACTTTAAAACTGAAACAGGATGTCCGTACATGATGGAATAGTACCCTGTTTATGATCGAGAGATTAGTGAAATTAAAAGAGCCTCTTACAGTTGTAATGATTTCACTAAATTATGATGGTCCTCTTAACCTAACTTCTGAAGAATGGAATAATATTGACGACATTGTACCTATATTAAAACCTTTCAATAGCATAACTATAGAACTATCAGCAGAGCAATATCCAACAATATCTAAAGTTATACCATTAATACGAGGTAATTGTTGAAATATATTTACAAATTGAAATCCTTAATTAATTGGGTTCAAGAAGAGTCTACAATTACAATTAACAGCGATTACAACTTCCAATAAATAAACCTTCAAATTGTATTTAACTAACAAATTATTATACATAGGTACCTATAAATTATAATATACTTTATGAATTATGAATTTTAATAACTTTTTTCCTTTTTATGTGTCTTAGAAGAGAGTTGAATAAGGATGAATGGGTGGTTATAAATATTAAATAATATCATTGATTATATAATATACTAGGAATACCCGTACTCATAATCAATGTTACTATCTATAAAAAAAGTTACACTAAAATGTTTATGGATGATCGAATATCAACAATAATGATTGATAAATAATAAATATATGTGATTACTAATATTACTCATAAGTTATAACCACGATTTAAGATAGTATGGTTGCCCATCGACCCATTAGAAAAATGTTATCACACGGCATACGGTTTGAATCGAAAAGTCACGTGATTTACGGGGTCCCCCGCATGCAGCGCTCATATTGGTTCAAATAAAAACTAATAAAAATTGTTATATTATACCTAAATACAATAAAAATATATATAATGATCATATTATATTATCAATTATAAAATAGTCTACTAGAAGCGCTAGCAACGGGGGTCCGATTTAAATCCAATGCCGTCTTATACCTCAATACCTCGTTGGGCAACCATACTATCTTAAATCGTGGTTATAACTTATAATAATAACCTAACCTAACCTAACCTAACCTAACAGAAAAATAAGTTGTTGTTTATAAAATTGTTAATGTTACTACCAAGAAGGTACTAAGTCTGATTAATTTGTAAATTAATTTTAAAAATATGACATAATTAAAAACATAAAGTTGTTGTTTATAAAATTGTTTTTGTTGCTATGATTTATGTATTTATTATTATTTAAAAGCTATAGTTTAGATAAGAAAGATATAATTAATAAGTTGATATGTTTATTTTATAAAATAGCTTTGTTATTCATCAAAAAAATACCAAGTTTGATTAATGTGTTAATTAATTATAAAAACATTAATAAGAAACACAAAGCTTGAAATGAAGCTACTTATTTATCAAAGAAAATTTGCTGTGAGAATAAAATATAAGTTACATTATATATATTTATGATAATATTATAAAATAGTGAATTATAATAGACATTTTAAACCGGTGGTCAAAGTGGACATGGGCTGACCACTTTGAACTCCTAGGTGGGCAAAGTGAACAATTTTGTACTTTTTAAAAAAATTAAAATAACTTTTTATTTATTTGTTTAAAATTGTTTCTGATTGAAAATTATGATTCCTGACAAGTTCAACTAGACAATCTTGAAGGTTTCATAAAAAAAAAAATTAAATCTGAAAGTGTGACACTGTGTTGAACCTTTGGGTGGCCGCTTTGGACACCTTTCCCCTACAATGATTGAGCGGAAAACGAGTGGACTGAGTATAGCTTGGAGTGAGCATCCTGTTCAAAATTAAAAATATTAATTAAGAGTTAAAAATGTCTAACAAAACACTATTATAATTATTAAAACAGTAATTTTAAATAAGTTTAATCACTTTATATCTATCAATTGGTTATATGAGTAAATGTATTTTAAACATATAACATAGGTAATTAGGTATAAATTGATAGAAAATAATTAAAAAATAACTTTGGTTATCACTTGGGTTTTTCTAATATTCACGATTAAAGTTATACAGGTTGCCCATCGGCATCTGAAAAGGTGTGAATGAAATGACTTGCAAAAGTTTAATAAGTTTAATAAAAGTTTTATACATGAAACCTATATAAATACATAATTAATTATTTACATACACATTATATTCTAATAATGACTAATGAGTATAAATAAAATATGGTATTCGTTTTGTATGCGTGACCTACCCGACCGATAATTAATTTAAAAACAGTAAAATTAAAAATCATAAAATTATGTTATTTTATTATTACAGATTAAGGATTACATTCAAAATCAGTCAACAAAATAACAGTATAAAAAAAAAAATATATAAAAAAAAGGCATAAAATTATTTTATTATAAATATTAAATTATGTTTGGCAATACACTTCACGCTTACATCACTTATAAATTTAAAAAAAATTGTATCTTGCCTGTTAATGGCAACATTTCAACTGATGTTCCATGCATTTTTTGTAGGATTTTAGTTTTTAATACTCCCATGAATATTCAATTTGCTTGTGTGTGAGCTCCAGTAGTTGGATCAACAACATTTTTTGAATGTTTGGCTGTTCTGTGATCATAGTCTCTATTTTTTAAACAAGAATTTGCTCTCCATTCATCTGGCATTTTAATAGAAACAGGTAATATTTCTTTTTCGATAATCGGAATTAAAGTTTCTCTATCACGTTTTTCCATAACCAAAAACTTTAGTTCAAAATTATCTCTGATTTTGCTACATAATCCGAATACCCAAGGTCATTCTAGTCTACAACCATAATTTCTGTTTGATGTAGGTTAATTAACTAGGTTTATTTGATTTTATTGATCACCTTCAGAATCGGAGTCTGCCGAGTTTTCTTGTACTTATTCATGACGTCGATCACCTAGCACTTAGCAGCAGTCTTCCTCGGTTATACTTTCTTCTCCCTCACAACAATGATTCATCAATATTAATAATTTGTACCACTATATTTTTTCCTCCCATCTTTTCATGTTTTTTAAATAATGAACACACGTCTCTACACAAATTAAACCAGTCAACAATGGTTGCATTTGAACGACCCGTTAATTACATAGGTGTACATAGTGGGGTGCTTGGGGGTGCTTAGCACCAGGTTTTAAATTAGCACCTCCAGTTTAATGAAAATTTATTTCAGTATTTCACAAATAATTTGTAAATTATTACGGTTTATTGGGTTGGAAATTTTTTTATTCCATTATAAATATACAATATAGTTCACGAATTCGCGATTAAAACAGTATCGTATCTTATCTTACTTTATATTCTTATCTACGGTTCACGGCTGGCTAGTGGGCTACGAAATTATGTTCTATTTATGACTTTGGTTATCACTTGGGTTTTTACTAAAACTCAAATAAAAGTAATAAAACTTAAAATAGTTATGTCATACAACTTGTACAATTAAAAAACAAACAAAAAATTGATTAATATTTATAATTTATTAAATTGATAGTGTCTTGACTGAATCTTTCATCAATTCCACTAATCATAATATCAAGCATAGGACAAAAGGATTGGACTCTTAATTCTTCCTCTAATGATTGTGTCTGGAACTGTGCATTAATATTGTCGATACGTGTTGAAACTTTTCGTTTTGTGGGTAATGGTAGTGGAATATTAATTTTTTCACATATAGAAGTACAAATATCAAACATTAAACTATTATTTTATATATCAACACATAAATAAAATGTATTTTTAACTGTGGTTTAACGGGTAAACGTCAAATTATTATTAAAAAATTATTATAAAATAAACCTAAATTTTATACGCTAATCAAACGTTATCACTGCCGTAACGTTATCGCTGCCAGTGCCGTTCTTCTATTATCTATGGTTTATACGTAGTGCCCCCAGCCAGGACGATTTTCTACCACCACAGTTCCATTCCAGTATTACAGTATACTTTTATACAGTTATGTGGAAGGCGAGCTCATCGACGGAGGACGGACGAGTTTCGAGTTTCAACATACTAATATGTACACTCCTAGGCAGCACTAAAATTAGTAATTATTTTTCTTGCGCACAAATTTTTTTTTTTTTTTAAAACGATTTTTGCCCCTCAAAGAGCTTCATGGTATGCAATCGTCAATCGACGACAGAAAGTGATAAAATAGAATATTCTGGGGTAATCGCATAGAGTACCTATACTCTACTCTATGGGTAATCGTAATATTAAACTATAGATTGTATGGATACTCCATATTTTGATTCTTCAGCTTCATATTATATCGACGAATAATATTTTTAAATTACAAAAAAATAACCAAAATCGTTAATACTGATTTGAATATGTCATTTCGTCCAAATTTGAACTTAAAATGACTATAAACATAAACTGTGCTTATGAATTTCTTAGATTTTTTGGGTACAGTATGAACTATTTATGAGAATCTTTGTTTTAAATTTGCAATACTTAGCTATAAAAACTGAACACCTTATAATTTATTAATTTTCAATGATTGATAATTTTTGAGATTTTGATAAATTTTGTCAAAATTCGATCTTTAAATGCTTATAAAAAAAAATTACGCTCATAAAAATATAATTTGACTTTCATATAGACATTTTTTTTTTGATAAAGGTATATAATTTTATAAGGAATCTTGTATTACATTTTAAAATCTTAGATTTAAAAAGAAAAATTTTTCGAATTCTTAACTCAAAATAATTTGCTAATTTTCGTGATTTTTCAATATTTGGTCAATTTTTGAACTTTAAATGCTTGTAAAAAAAAATGTGACTAAAGAATTTTAATATTTATCATCTGCCTTTGAAAAATATAGTAGGAGACTTGTATTAATTTTTCAAGTATTTTTACTCAACAAATACATTTTTATTGATATTCATAAAAAAAAAAACTAATAAAAGTAGAAACTGACAATGTCCCTAAACAGTTCAAAATAAATCAAAATATTTTGAAAATGTTATCGTGTATAGAAA